TGTTTTACAGGGATCTGTACACAGAGATGTTTTACTGGGATCTGTACACAGAGATGTTTTACTGGGATCTGTACACAGAGATGTTTTACTGGGATCTGTACACAGAGATGTTTTACTGGGATCTGTACACAGATGTTTTACTGGGATCTGTACACAGAGATTTTTTTACTGGGATCTGTACACAGAGATGTTTTACTGGGATCTGTACACAGAGATGTTTTACTGGGGATCTGTACACAGAGATGTTTTACTGGGATCTGTACACAGAGATGTTTTTTGGGGATCTGTACACAGAGATGTTTTACTGGGATCTGTACACAGAGATGTTTTACTGGGATCTGTACACAGAGATGTTTTACTGGGATCTGTACACAGAGATGTTTGACTGGGATCTGTACACAGAATTGTTGTACTGGGATCTGTAAACAGAGATGTTTTACTGGGATCTGTACACAGAGATGTTTTACTGGGATCTGTACACAGATGTTTCACTGGGATCTGTACACAGAGATGTTTTACTGGGATCTGTACACAGATGTTTTACTGGGATCTGTACACAGATGTTTTACTGGGATCTGTACACAGAGATGTTTTACTGGGATCTGTACACAGATGTTTTACTGGGATCTGTACACAGATGTTTTACTGGGATCTGTACACAGAGATGTTTTACTGGGATCTGTACACAGAGATGTTTTACTGGGATCTGTACACAGATGTTTTACTGGGATCTGTACACTGAGATGTTTTACTGGGATCTGTACACAGATGTTTCACTGGGATCTGTACACAGAGATGTTTTACTGGGATCTGTACACAGAGATGTTTTACTGGGATCTGTACACAGATGTTTTACTGGGATCTGTACACAGAGATGTTTTACTGGGATCTGTACACAGAGATGTTTGACTGGGATCTGTACACAGAGATGTTTTACTGGGATCTGTACACAGAGATGTTTTACTGGGATCTGTACACAGAGATGTTTTACTGGGATCTGTACACAGAGATGTTTTACTGGGATCTGTACACAGAGATGTTTACTGGGATCTGTACACAGGATCTGTACACAGAGATGTTTTACTGGGATCTGTACACAGAGATGTTTTACTGGGGATCTGTACACAGAGATGTTTTACTGGGATCTGTACACAGAGAGATGTTTTACTGGGATCTGTACACAGAGATGTTTTACTGGGATCTGTACACAGAGATGTTTTACTGGGATCTGTACACAGAGATGTTTTACTGGGATCTGTACACAGAGATGTTTTACTGGGATCTGTACACAGAGATGTTTTACTGGGATCTGTACACAGAGATGTTTTACTGGGATCTGTACACAGAGATGTTTTACTGGGATCTGTACACAGAGATGTTTTACTGGGATCTGTACACAGATGTTTTACTGGGATCTGTACACAGAGATGTTTTACTGGGATCTGTACACAGAGATGTTTTACTGGGATCTGTACACAGAGATGTTTTACTGGGATCTGTACACAGAGATGTTTTACTGGGATCTGTACACAGAAATGTTTTACTGGGATGTTTTACTGGGGTCTGTACACAGAGATGTTTGTACACAGGAATCTGTACACAGAGATGTTTTACTGGGATCTGTACACAGAGATGTTTTACTGGGATCTGTACACAGAGATGTTTTACTGGGATCTGTACACAGAGATGTTTTACTGGGATCTGTATACAGATATGTTTCACTGGGATCTGTACACAGATGTTTTACTGGGATCTGTACACAGAGATTTTTTACTGGGACCTGTATGAACATGCCCCCCTTGGCATCCCCACCCCCAGCTGTAAATATTCATCATATAGCAAACGATGATTATACTGAAGATGGATACCTTTTATAGTTTATTATGTGTAATGTAAACCAAACTTCCAAAATCTTTGTACCTGCCTGAAAATCCTATTTATGCAAACTAAATTATATATTAAATTATATATTCTTCTTTACATGAACTTAACATGTTAATTTCAGATGTAAATCCAGAAACAATAGCAATGTTTGGGTTTAATGTGATGCGACTTTGATAATCATATGTACATGTTGTAACATAATCGAATTACGTCACGATGTAATCCATTTATCTTGTACATACACCTCTCGCATAGTCAACTGCAAAATATAGAATAGGCCTGTGACCTCTCCTACAAAGAGGTAGGGGAGGTTATTAGGTCGTATGAACTTTGTATTTTGTTACTCTCAGCTGATTGGCTACTGACGTTGTGGGCGTGTCAGTTTATGTGCATTGATTTAGGAACCAAGAATTTAAATCATGTAATGCAACACGTGCATTTCTACGCCTGGAATGCTTATCGATCCTTTTTTTTATCGAATTTGACTAATTAAGATGGTGTGTGATTACACTATTGTTGATACCATATGTTTTCATGGTCGAATTTAATCATAAGGATTTACAGAATTCAGTGACTTGTAGCGGATTGTTACAAAAAGTTTGCATATCGTTTTTCCGATTCATGCCTCAATGAACAGAAATAAACTAATCAATCCTTAATGAACCCTCATGGTACCTGGCCATCAGCTGGCTTTGTATATCGTACAGCACCGCGCTGAGATGACGTTGCAGTTTCAACCATGAATGCATTACAACGTTACAGCGTTCTTATTTCTGCACACGATGCTATCAAAATTGTCTTTCCAACATTCTTCTTTCAACAAACCGTAACGTAAACGTAAATACAGTCATTAGTGAATATCGGGCAGCACAATAATGCCTAAAAGAATAACAAAGATCACTCCATCGAAGGGACAGTGCAGTAGATTCAATCAAAATCGCTGACATCATTACATCGGCAGCAAACTTGATCAATGAACCCAAGCACAATGTATGTTAATGATTTGGAAACAGAGTGTTATAAATTCATGTGGCATACTAAACCCGACAAAGTAAGATAACTAAACCTATCGAGGAGGGTGGATAAGGGTTCCATAATATTTCTAACGTAATAAAATCACAAACAATATCTTTGATTAGAAGACTACTAAAGAGCTGTTCAGACAGACAGACAGACATTTTATTCAGTAATAGGCCACTGGCCCAAAATACATTCATAGATATGATGAGAGGTTTTACATAAAAACATCAGAATCTCTTATTTTCCCAACATTATAAAAAATAGGCATAAATTATTTATAACATTTATGTTTGTTGAAGTCATATGTTTAAAAAGCTGTGTTGTGAAATAATATGTTTCAAATATTTATCCCGAAACTTATTCCTTATATCTAGGTAGGCTTTACAATAAAGTAAAACATGTATTTCATCTTCAATTAAATAAATATTAATTTTGTGGCAAAAAGAACAATTCAAAACTCTGTAAAAATAGATATATTCGGAAGACATGTGCTTCATAACGTACTGTGAAGACTTTATTGGGAAAAGTAATCATTAACAAAAAATTCCAACGACGCTATTGTATAGCGATGGACAGTTGCTAACCTTAGACAACTTTTCGAAATATATTTCATTGCAAAACTAATTCCTCAGAATAAATAGGCATTATACAATCTATAAAACATATTGACAATTACATTTTCAAAACATTTTCAATAGACGACAAATATGAGATAGAGAATATAATCTACAGGTCACACGTTCTGAATCAAAGAATGTAAATACACTGATAACGTCCGCCGACTGAACGGCGACGGAAGCCAATTAAAGGGGAGCTAACTGTGTGGTCACTGAACCGTGAATGGACTAGTTTTTTCACAATATGTTACCAATACATAACAATGATCTTGTATAGCATTTTATATGTATGTTATAAAAACTATTTCCACATGCCAGTCAGCATCATACACAGTACGGCATTTAGCGGCAATGACGCCATAGTTCACAGTCCATACCACAAAGTCGATCAAAATATGATACACTTGAACTTACTACTACCGTTACAGACTAAACGTCAACAGTGTTACGAAAATATCTGTATAGTTGGGTTAAGTACACATCTTTACCAGTCCAATTACGTCTTCATATTGGTTTAGTATCACACTGATACTAAAACAGAGAGGTGTATGTGGCATTGGTGCGAAATATACATTTGCTGCTATTCTCTTAAAGCTCAAACTCTCCGGAAAAAAGGTCGAGGTAACCACTGTAGGGTATCTTGTCATACAACCGTTGCACTGTATACAACATGAATGTCTTGATGCTAAAGCTGATATTACCGGGCTGCTGATAGTTATAATTTAGATTGTGCATACTAAGTATTTGACATCTTATTCACAGTTGAAAGGGAACACTTATACATATATGGTCCCGTGGCACCATAGGATTAAATACTACATTTACATATATTTCCATAGCGGTACATTTATTCAAGCTATTTTACGTAGCGTTAACGGAAATATTTAATATACTCGAGATAGAGTATAATGACAAATCTCCATGGGATTTACATGGAATATACATACAGAAGGAGTATAACCAATACTTTGTGTACCATAAACAATATGTAATGTGTATAGAAGCAAAATTGAAGACACAATATAATTCAGACAATGTCAGCAACAAATAATTCTTAACAGAAAATTGATATTAAAATCTGTTTGAGCCCATGTCTAATTGCTGGACATATTTAATAATGAAACTGTTTTGTGCTGGGTCGTAACTAACAAAAGTTGCTAATTTGTGTTCAGTCTCTATTCACAACGTTAAAAAACAAAGAGTTATCTATCTCATTAAAACATATTCTTACATTCAAGAAAATAGCGAAAAGCATTTTTTTCAAGAATCCCAAGCACAAAATAACAAATAACTGTAAATACATCATCATTCAGACAGTTTCGTGTATGGGCAGAGCAAATACGATTTTTATACTTCCAAACTTTGCTGGACTACAGAAAAGGAAAAACATTTATGTTTGAGAATATTATGTCACAGTGTCAATCTATGAGCCTTTATAACTACTAACTAGCGAGTTCGCCAAGTATGTTATGTTAGATATGTCGCTAACCAATATTGCAGGTTTATATCTGTAAGATGCTGGTGAAAGTTTGGGCAATTGCATCTTGAAACATGGCATGCATGTGCTCATGTAGATGTTTACATTTCATAATTTCTTGGTACAAGTGACCATGCTCCTTTCACACAAAAAGTCAAGCAGCATCATACGACTCTCGCTCAAAAGGAGTTTGATCACGGTTACAACATTCAAAACCTTAATAAAGCTTCCTGAACGTTCTTTGTTCTTTGACACGTGAATGTCCACAATGCTGTCTGATGCAATTTATATTTTGACTTGTTCCTATGTGTTCTTGTGTTGTTCAGGTGAACTCTTGACTTGCGTCTCCATGTGTTTGTTATGGGTGTTGCCAGGACAGGATACCCTCACATCCTTTCGTAGACATCTTGTATCATCACTATTGAACCTGATTCCACAACAGATCCTTATGATATAATCGAAATGGTACAATGGACAGCTGTCAGCAGGGATTACGTTTATGGAAAGCGTTTTTCACTTTGACAAACTGTAGACGTTCATTCAACCACTATTTCATACAGTTTATAAACCTTTTAAGCTCACTGAGAAACCACATTCCACCAAATAATGCAGCTCTATGACTACTCTTCTTCACGTCACACAAGATGTATCGCCAGCATGTTAACAAACAGCACCGTGCTGTAAGATCATCTCAACAATTGAGTCATGACCATGTTCCAAAGCTACTTCTAAAGGAGTGATGGCTGCATTTCCAGAAGAAAGATTAACATCAGCATTTTGTGATACTAAACTGTGTACTATCTGCCTTTAGAACATGCCACAATTAGAGGGGAGATTCCCCTTTGTCTCTCATATTTGGATCAGATCCGTTTTTCAACAACAAGTCAACAATGCCTGTATTTCGTTGTTCACGAGCCAGAATCAAAGGAGATTTTCCTTCGCTGTTCTGATAATTGACATCAGCGTTGTGATCCAATAGCAGTCGAACAGCCTGATGATCAGATTTCTGACAAGCTAAGGTCAAGGGAGTGTTATTGAAATCATCAGCCACGTCGACCAAAGCAGCTGTTTCCAGCAGCCGGGTCATTTTCTGCAGATCTCCTCCAACACATGCTATGTGTAAGGGAGTCTGATTGTTCTCATCGGCTGAATTCACATTTGCTCCATATTTCATCAACATTTCAAACACAGCAATACCCATGCCCCTTTCACAAGCTATCATCAAGGGTGTGTTACCATCGCCATCGGCTCTTTGTAAATCTGCACCATGATCTATGATCAGTTGAAGGATTTCGAGATCTTCCCTTTCACAAGCTGCTATCAGTGGTGTTCGTCGTCCAACATTGACTTGGGCTTTGTGTTCCAGAAGAAGTCTTATGGTCTGAGAATCAGAGTAATCACACGCCAACAGCAAGGGGGTGACATCAGATTCACCAGCCATCCTTGGATCTGCTCCATGAGACAACAACAGTGCAGCTATGCCCGAACCTTCCTGCATGCATGCATAAAACAGCGGAGTGTTCCCGACATCATCAGTCACATTTACTTTTGGACAGTATTTCAGCAGTTTCTTCACAATTTGAAAATGTCCTCTGCTACACGCTAAATTTAATGGAGTTTTGCCACAGGCATCAACAACTTCTGTGTCAGCCTTACATTTCAGCAGAATTTCAATCAGTGCACTATCCCCAGTTTCACATCCAAACAACAATGGGGTGTAATTGTCTGCATCTGCAACATTTGCTGCGGCACCATGTGCCAGTAACTCTTGAGCTATTCTAACATATCCAGTTCTACTTGCCAGTATCAAGGGTGTGTCTCTTTTAGCGTTGAAGATGTTTGGATCAGCATGATGTGCTAAAAGTAACTTCACGACGTTTGTGTAGCCTAGCTCACACGCCAAGTGCAATGGAGTATTTTTGTTGCTATTATATACATCCACTTTGGATCCGTGCTTCAGGAGAAGGTCAACAATTCTAACATTTCCTCCTCTACATGCAGCAAGCAGAGCACTGTCGTCATCAGTATTGACAACATTCACGTCAACGTTCTGTCGTAGTAGTACAGATATCAGGTGAACACTACCTTGCTTGTGCTCTTTGTCCTTGTCATAGTCATCTTTTTTCAACAAATTGTGATCAATGTCATTTTCGCTTTTTCTACAAACCACCAACAGTGGCGTGTTGCCAGTGTTATCTGCCATATTAACCTGTGCACCCACGTCTAGTAAAACTTGTGCGATTCCAGAGCTGCAGTCATCATCCCGGTGGCAGGCCAGCAGTAAAGGGGAGTTACCCTCCACATTTTGTGAGTTTACTTCAGCATCATATTGCAAAAGCATTATAACCATTTGTTGGGTTCCATTTTTGCATGCCAGCATCAGTGGTGTATTACCATCTTCGTCTTGAACATGTACATTGGCGTTGTGATACAGAAGCAGTTCAGCCATTGTTTCATTCAAATTTCTGCATGCTATCAGAAGTGGGTCTTCGTGATCTGATGTGGCATGTAGTGTAACACCATGTTCCAGTAGCACTTCAGCTACTTTTACGTGATTGTGATTGATGGCCCACTCCAAGGGACTGTACATCTCACTTTCAGAAGTTTCAAACTTTTCCCTCACAGCTCTTAAAAGTTCAGGATTATCAAGAATGTTCATTGCAATATCAAGATAGTCTGGGCTCTCCCTTCCATCTTCACGATCACCAAGACTGCCCCCTCCAATTTCAAGATTGTCAAGAATTGTCTTGATATCGGCTTGGCCTTCCTCTCCAATTTCAAAGTTGTCCAAATTAACATTGTCTGAGAGAATAACACGCAGTACTTTATCATAGCCTTTGGTGCAAGCCCAGATAAAACTGTTCTGAAATTCAGAGTCTGTCAGTTGGCTTGGGGCCTGGAGCCAAGCCATTAATGATAGAGCTGTATCCGGGCGGTCCTCCTGACATGCTAACATCAATGGCGTGTTCCCTTCGCTGTTGTGCAGATACCGAATTGTGCTGTTTTTCAGTAACACATTGACAGCTTCAGCACTTCCATTCATACTTGCCACATGCAGCGACGTATCACCTGTATCATCCTGAGCATTTATGATTGCACCATACTGCAGCAGTGTTTGTACACATTTGACATTACCCGATACACAGGAAGCCATTAAACATGTGAAATTCTGCTCATCACTCATATTGACATCAGCTTTGTGACTGCATAAAAACTCGACGATTTGTTCATGACCGTGTCGACAGGCTACCATCAGTGCTTGATTGGTGTTACTTAAAGTTCCGTGTCTTGAAAGAATGTCAACAATTTTGAAATAGCCCTTTCTGCATACTAATGTAAGTGGACTCTCCAGATATTCATTCTGCATTTCAACATCAGCTCCTTTGGACAAGAGTACCTCAACAACGCTGCGCCTGTTTTGACCACATGCAAACATCAATGCAGAATCTCCTGTTGTATTTGTGGTATTTACCTCTGCTCCATGAGAGACCAACATTTGTACAATACCAGCACTGCCACTTTCTGATGCCAGCATAAGTGGCGTGTTCCCTTCACCATTTGAACTGCTGACATTGGCTCGAAGAGACAACATTCTTTGGACTATTTCATCATGAGCGTTCATGCACTCACACATCAAAGGTGATAAACCACTTGGATCACATATGTTGACACATGCATTATGATCAAGAAGGAGTTTGACAATATTTTCATCACCTTTCTGACAAGCATGCAGCAAGGGAGTGACCCCTTCGCTGTCCTTCACATTGGCATCAGCCCCATGTGATAGAAGAATTTTCACTATTTCATCATGATGCCTTTGTACAGAAATGATCAATGGATTAGAATGGCCGTGAATGTCAATATTAATCTCAGCCTTCCGTTTTATGGCCAGCATAACCACGTTCCTGTATCCCTTTAAACATGCATGCATCACCAAGCTTCTTTTTAAGGAATCTGTGACGTTAACATCAGCGCCATGTCTTATCAAATGTTCACAGAGGATCTCACTGCCATTGGCTATGGCAAACAACAGCGCAGTGATACCATTGATATCACGCACATTGACATCAGCCTCAAAATTCAACAAAACTTCCGCTGCTTCTACATTGTCACGGGCACAGGCCACCATCAATGCAGTAGTTCCTAACATACTAGCTGCATTGACACTTGCTCCCTGTTCAAGGAGCAGTTCAATGATTCTGACATGGCCACGCCTGCAAGAAATCATCAGTGAGGATTCACCATTTTTGTCAGTTGCATTGATGTCAGATTCGAGCGTTAACAACGTTTTAACCGTTGCGATATGTCCTTGTTGACAAGCTGTCATTAACGCAGTATACCCCGTGTCATCCGTTAAGTTCAAGTAGGCTTGTTTGTCTGTTTTTGCAATGTTTGCATGCTTGGTTAAGTACTTCAACAAGATATTCACAAACCCATATCGCCCATGTCGTGAAGCCACGTGTAATGGGGTCTGACTGTGTTGGTTGGTGTTGGTTGGCTTGGCTCCAAGTTCTAACAGACTTACTACAAGGTAGACATTGGTACCAGAGCATCCTTTGTGCAATGGAAAATTGCCATATGCATCTCTGTCGTGTACAGAAAAGCCATGTTCAAGGAGAACCTTCACCATGTACTTCCTACCTAGCCTGCACGCCAACGTGATCATGGTATCGCCATGGTATTCATTTGTGTAAGGTGTCTCCCCAAAGGTATCCAAGTGGTCTGTCTGTACTTGAACTTGCCATTGCTCTACAAAGTGTTTCACTAAGTGTGGTCGAGGTATTAACTCCAGCAAAAGCTTAAATGCCTTGAAATTTCCAGAATGCACAGAAGCCGAAGTTGCATCAAGAAGACACCTATTACTGAAGGTGAATGAGTTGAGAAGGGACTTGCAGAGGTGATAAGATTTGTTCCAAACAGACCAGTGGAGAATGGACTTGCAAAACTGTGGGTCATGTGTTCCACATTGGAAATAATCCAACAAGTCACTTTTGTCTAAAATCCTTTTGACAAATGTCCTTTGCGCTAGAGCCTGATGTGCGCATATTAATGGATACTCTGTGTTCAGAATACCTTGAACAAATCGACTTGCTAGAGACTCATGCCATTCTTTTGAAAAGTAGAGTTCAAACATGTTTCTGTCCTCAAACGTTCCACGTTTAGTCTCCTTTGCTTTCCGTTCATGGATTCTTACTCTGTCAAAAACAAACTGAAATGAGCAGTTGTTGATGATGAACTTTGGGTCTTTGGTTCCTACTAAATAAGAAACTGCATTTTTTATTGACGGATGGCTGAATGTGACAACATCAACATCCTTTCTTAGGAAAGGGCCGTGGAGAGGCGAGCTGTCCCTGAGACACTTTTCAATGTCGTCTGCAGACACATTCTGAACTTTTTTCAAACACCCTTGTCAAAGTGTGGTCAGACAGGCGTTCAACGTTTACCTCGTTGTCACTGAGGAGAAGAAGAAGTAAGCATGCATACAGCTTGGGGTCAGAGAGAAACAAATCTGACAGTGAGTTGTTCAGACAAGGAAGTGGGTTTCTGAAAAACGTCATGGGCTCAAGATGGAACTGTTTCAGCTTGAAGAACAGGAAGCACGTGTGTGGGAAGCCATAGGGAATAGCCATTTCACATATGTCGTCAATAGTCGAGTCGGGAAGTTTGATTTGACTGTGACACATATGACTTAGGATCATTTCACATTTTTCTTCTCGAGAAAGTGGTGTCTGAGAAGACAGATCGACCGTTGTGTCGGCTGAAAAACACGGAAAATCGAGAAATCTTAAAGCTTCATTGAATATACTACTTCTAGAAGTAACAATGAGTTTGACTTTATCTGACAGGTTTCTGTCTCCACTCTTGAAGAACGATGCAAGGAGGTTCTTCCATCTTTCCAAAGCCAGAACTGAAAACACAGACTCTCCAAATATGTCATTCACTAAATATATTTTTGCTCTTATTGGTTGTTCTTTCAAATTCACCTCTTTTGGGCTATGAACTATGAAAATGTCATACTGATGTTCCAAATCCCGTAGGAGCTGATAGGCCGAGGCTGTTTTCCCTGTACCAGGAAAGCCAGTGATAGCTACCACATGCTCGTTGTCTAGGCACAACTTGGCTTGGCGGTATCCAGTTGTCTTGACGAAGATTTCAGCATCTTTTGTGATAACTTGCCTTTCATGTTCTGGGAAAGAAAAATAACATGCAAAATTTGAAAGGCTTTTGTCCCATTACACACCACTGTTGGACTGAAAAGATTGTTATTAATTATTAGTTTGATACTAATATATGCTTCAAATGAAAATTTGGGAAAGTATCGCAAACAGAACGCAATTAATTCTAGTAAATAAACAATTCCTCAATAAGTCCAATCCATCAAAGTGAAATCACAAAGGATATAAAATAACAAGACATAGGGACATTCTGACTACACAGTCAAGTGGTACAATACGTACGTTGTCGGTGTTCGTCACGGCTCAGCGACGTGGTCCCCTGTTTCGTGACGTTGCAAGTCTCTGCCAGGCTCACACGTGTGGCAGTGATTGTGCGTCTTTCATTCACTGGAAGTAGATTCACGCGCTGAATAAACCGTATGTGCTTTTAGAGTATTTAGAGTTTGATCACTGGTATTTTGTTTCAAATATAGTTTTATACTGGGGAGCAGTTTTATAGACAAGTATGCCCATCTATCTATCTATCAACCTATCTATCTATCTACCTGACCCCCACCCGTTATACCATATGTATGACCCCGTCTCTCTCTCTCTCTCTCTCTCTCTCTCTCTCTCTCTCTCTCTCTCTCTCTCTCTCTGTCTGTGTGTGTGTGTGTGTGTGTGTGTGTGTGTGTGTGTGTGTGTGTATAGAGAGAGATATTTCATGGACTTCGCTTCTGTTAATTATCTGTAATACATACCATGAATATCGCCATGCACTACACCAACTGTGTCTGCATGTCGGACACGTCCTCCTGACACCCCGGTCACATCTGTCAAAGAGACCTCGCATATATACAACCATACAAGACGTTGTCATGTAATTCACCTAAAATACTCCAGCAGAACGAATTATTGAGCACAGATCAATCACCCAGCAGGGCGTGTTTCCACACTATAAAACACGTCACGCAGTGTTACCATG